TTTGGACATCCGGCACTACATTTTTTATTGTAGAGATCACTACAGTATCCTCTTGATATTTTCTATTCTATATTTCTATCATTGACCTTCTAATTTCCCCTTATTTTGTATGTACTCTTAATATTCAAATGTTTTGATCAAATACAACATCATTTCAACAAAACAATTCAATAACGTGCTTTAACCACTAGGGGTTAAAAAACTGTCAAGTTTACACTGTTAACAGAATAAAATATACTGTTGTTTCCAGTTTAGTTTATGATGGATGTATTTTGTTATCCACACATATATTGTTTTTATATTTGTAACACCAAACCGACAGAAAATATGGTCTTAACATGACTCAGTGCCAGTGGTCTAGTTAATACAAAATATATTGTCAAACATAATATTAAAATGAACTCTTATTTTGAAAATACAGCTTCCTGTGTTCGAATGAGCTGCTCCGACCCTCGGTCATGACAGACTCCAAAAGTCCGACATTATACAATCAAACAAATAAATAAACACAAGGATAATTGTGTCTTATTGTTGAGTAAATAACAGTTTTCAGTATTCTGAGCCCCTACTCTCCCCCTAACTTACAGCAACAAAAGTCCTACATTATTCAATTAAAATAAAGAAGTAAAAACAATAAGTGCAGCTTGATATTGAGTAAGAAAAAGGTTGATAAACGCTGTGAGAATGGACCTGCAGAGAGCATTTCTCCGCGATCCCAACTCGTCTATTTCCAACATTTAGGGAGCTCTATTTAAGTCAATGGGACTCCCTGATAGTTGAAACTCTACGCTAAAGGGCCCCCCTTGCGTTGGAAAGTGACGACAGGGACCCTGACATAAAAACAACAATGCAATTATTTATTTAGGGTGCCAGTTAGGCAGTAGGCAGGCTCAAGGGTAGATCCACGTGACTGACCTGAGTTCAAGCCCACGCCAACACCCATAGGCCGAGTTGGGAGTGAGAATGTGTTGGTTTAAATGACAAAAGGTTCATTCTAATCTAGTTGGATTGCTTTACATTGTATTGCTGCAGGTTTTGGGTATGTGTTTCCTTATGTCTGCTGGCTATGGTGATCGAAGCAGGCTGGCTATTACATCTGGATAAAGGGTTGTGTTGTATTATGTGTTTTACCACACTTGCTTAATGCTTTATGAGAAAAGAAACACTTTTGAATATTCTTCTTCTGTTTTATGGCTCTCATGTTTTTAGATATCATTGAAAAACCTGACGTATAACAATTTAATAGGAAGAATGAAGTGAGTTGTAGCCAAATACATGATGGAAACTTTTAGTGACAGGGATGAAAAGTTATTTTTTAGTTGAGTAGAGATTATTTAACGTACATATTTTTGTATCATTAAGCTTACCATATTTAAGCGTTATTATCAAAATCTAGGATTAGGCTAGCTTGTCAATGTATTTTGTGTAATTTCATATTGTATCTGTATATTGTATAATGTTTGGTAAATTGTGCAGGTATTTGTAATAATAACAATCGATTGTATTTATAGATTCGGTACACAATGACACTTTACAAAAACAAAAATATGTTATTGTAAATCTGTGACAGTTTAATTCTATTAATTTAATCTCTTAAATGTTTCATTCAAATGTGTAAAAAACCAGTGAATTCCCCAGTGGACATCACTTCAGTGAAAGCCTGTTCCTCAATGTTTACATTTAAAGAACAAAATACTTAAAACTATGTCAATTTATTGGAACTGGCTCTCTGACAACAATGGCTCATTTCCGTAATAATATTAGACATTTGGACAAACGGTTTCACATAATTGGCAGTAAAAAGCCCTCCAGACAAGCCCCATTCTTCAGATATGGGTTTAATTGTCCAGAATATGATTGCTAAGTGAGAGATCCCCTCACTTATCAAATTAAAGGCTTTAAAAAGTGGGACAGTGGAGTACTTAGCGCTTATTAAAGCGGAATGGGTCGTGCCAAAGGTAAGCTGTTTATCTGGAAAAGGAGAGCAGCAGAGGAGGAACGCCTCATGGAAAGAATGAAATAAAAAAGGGGTTTTCCTCCACAAACCAGCCTCTCATTAAAATATGATTGGAGAGCCTGAGAGTAACATTATAATGCAACATTGGAATGTGATGCCAATATAATTTGAAATGTGTTGAGGAAAAATTGGGACAGCGCTTGTTATAAACACACAGACACACAGAGAGATACATGGAATTGGGTACACCCCAACGTATTTCTTGCATAAACGATCCTTACTTCCTCATGTTTTATTAATGAGAGTTAAGGTAGTGTATGGCCACACATGAGCTATCACATTTCTCAGTGTTCATTTATAGCCCTCCTGTGAGAGTCTGGCTGGGCCCAGATAACAGTGAAACCGCCTGGAGGGCAGACACAACACCCCAAAGAGTAATACAGGCCGTCATAACTCCCAGCAAGATGCATGGTAATGCAGGTAAACTCAAAACTCTTATCAAAATGCCATACACCTTTCAACGCGGTGAGTGAGCGGTGTGGACCGGCTGCCAGCTGGCCTGATAACGGCCGAGACATCTCAGGTCCAAGTGGGACAGTTTTTCACAATACTGGTACAGAAAATGAGGATATTTGTGCCTTTTTGTGCATTGATTTTTCAATAGAAATGACAGGAACCTGAGGTAGTTATTCTGAAAAAATATTTCCTGCTGGGCTCCTGGTATTATGACAGGTCGTACCTGCAAAAAGCAAAAAAGACACTCCCAATAATCATTTGTCCAGTATCGTATAAAACATAAATCCATCGGCATCTTTCGTTTTTGTATACATATAATGTTCATAATATATGTAGATATCGTTGTAAAATGCCAGAAAAGCTGGTAAGTCATTGATTTCAAATTGAAGTTATCAATATGTTATTATCAGTGTATAATTTGTTAACAATATGTTTAATGTAATCTTGCTCTAAAAACACATTACTGTCCAGAACCAAACAGCATACATGGTCAGGCAACATTTAAAGGTGGGGTATGTCATTTTGGAGAAACCAGCTTGAGTGTGCTAGAATTTGAAAATACACAACCGGAAAAAATCAGCAACTTCCTTACAGAGCCCCTTCTTCAACACACACAAACGTGCACATGACCAATGAGGGCACGAGATAAGTTTGTGCACAGATGGAAGGCTGACAGGCAGGTTATTTTAGCCGGTCCGGCTAAAATGATTGGTCGTGCTTTTTACAGCGCCACGGCTTGAACAGATTACATTTTTTTATGTATTTATTGTCAAAGCATTACATATATTCATTGCTATCGGGATGTTAAGAGCATTCCATGGAATATAACAAAAAGTGTTTCTGATATAAATTACATACCCCACCTTTAAGACCTTGATTTTGAAAGATGGAGTTGAAGATATTGGATCAAATTAGCATAAACATGCTACACTGGGTTTAGTAAGAGAAAATTGAGTGAATCAATACAGTTGACAAAAAGAAACAAGGGCATTCATACAGTAGGTGCAGGGTTAATGTGATTGTCCATTTTACGTTTGGGTCGCACTGGAGGGACACTTGGGTTAACCAGAGGGTCTTTTATCCCAACCACAGGGGCACTAATGGTGACCGGAGGGGCATTAGTATGTCTACACGCCTATGTGGCGAGACATGTGTAATTTCCATATTTTCACACTGAGACTTGTTCAGACCCCTGAATTTAATCCCAGATCAAAGTGCTCTGGCTTTAGCTCAGACAACACTTCCTGTTTGACCAGCTTACAGAGTGGAGGACTTGTATTTGACCTTGAGAAGCAAATATTTTTTGAATAACATTCCTTGTCATACATTCTCTCACCCTCATGCCCTAACAATTATTAAAGGCAGCCAGTTAGCCTTTCTAATATTGACCATATGTTACAAGAGATAACTGTTTGTAGTAGTGGTTATTTGGAAGCTGTAATTCTCAGGGCAACATTTGCCCAGTGGGTTGTTCCAGAGTTCCAGAGAAGAATTCTGTTTCTGAGGTTGTTTGCAGACCCCTCAGTGTCAAAACTCTAATGGCTACAAGGATTTGGTTTCCACTTGCCCAGTTGCATTTGGGTGAAAAGCATCAAAAGTGAGGCAGGGAGTGTAAACCATACAGCGAGAGTTTTCCTCTCCCTCTAGTGACGCGAAAAGAGGCCAAACCATGCCAATCTTTTCCTCGCTTTACTATGTTTTTCTTTCACATGGTAAGATGCTTCACTGCAACTGTGGCTGTATCACTAAATAAATCAACATCTTGATATAAGGTTTACTTACGGACTCAAACACAGTCAATCTGTCTAATTGTGTCGGTGCTTTATACTGTACTTTGACTGGACCAAAATG